ACTCTCTGTAAACACCTCTCTGTACAGTGGCTTTCATTCCCCCTGGCAGAGTACACCAGATTCAAACTGCTTCCTCATGCACTAAAGATTCAATACATTTATACGTTTACTCATATAGACTGTAAATAAAGATGGACGTTTCCCTCCGTGACGTTTCTGAAGAGTGGTTTTGACAGAGTGAGCTGCTCCACCGTCAGCAGTGGCAGTGCCTGACCTAACCCGCTTTGTGGCAAGCGTACGCTCACCCACCTGTCACTCAAAGTGACACGCCCTCAAATATCAACTTTAATAAACTTTAAATGGGAAATTAGCTAAAGACACCAAAACCGTTTTCTTTCTTTTTTTAACCAGGCTGTAAACATGTTTGCTGTACAGTTGGACATTTTAACATCAGAGTCTATGGGGGTTGACTCGCTTTTGGAGCCACCCTCAAGTGGCCATTTCAGGAACTGCAGTTTTTTGGCTCTTCTGTGTTGGCTTCACTGTTCAGCCCTGGAGTTCGCTGCTTGACTCATACACACACATGTGTGTCTTTGTCTCATCGAGCGAACATCTGCTGGTGACAGACTGATCCCTGAAAATACGTCAACGTCAACCTGTGACTCCTAGTTCTTTTGTTAGACCACTATCAATCCTATCCTGACTCGCTGAACTGTTCAGCATGCTGAGGCACATTTATTTTTATTCACTGTTTCATCTTCCTTTCCTTCCTCATCCCTTTCTAGGGAAGAAATATGTTCACAGTCTTTGTTTTGCTTAACATTACCTGCAAAAAGTTGGATCCCCTCAATCTGTCTCATGTTTTCTTTTAATCCTTTATCCAAGGTTTTTTCTCTTCTGGATACAAGCTATGGTATAAATTTTCATGAGCCTACATCTGCTCGTAATAAATATATTGACAGTATATTTTTCAGGCATTCAAGTGTGACAAATCATGCATGTCTTTCTTAAGTCTGTTTACATCTCTGTTAGTATATTTGTATGTGTGTGTCTACTCTGTTACAGTCTGACCTCTGTGCAGTTTAAAACTCCCCCCGTCTGGCCTAAAAGCATTCATTACTCTGACAGCCGACCCCCTCTGTCTTACATATATGTACGCACACACACACACACACACACACACACACGCATGGAGAAAACCATTAGGGGCAAGGTCTCAGGTCACTCTGGCTGAATGGACACTCATCTGCTGTGACCAATAGAAAGTGAGGTTGTGTGATTAAGCGTTTGGGGTGGGGCTCACTTGAAGCCTCTTGAATCAAAACCTATTTACCTTCTATTGAAAGCTCAAAGATGCTGCACACACCAGCTGCAGACAGCAGAGAGGAAGGATTACGAGAAGCATTTTTCAACATCACGTCACTGCTGTTGCATGAAATCCATGCAGTTAAAGTTTCCACGTTTAGTCTGAGTGATAAAAATATCGCACAAGCCTTTGCATTGATTAAAGACTACACATAAATTCAAAACTCTACTAATGTCAGAAATACACAGTGAGTAAGTGAGATAATCTTTAATCTTGCACTACATTTTGAATATAGTAGGAGTTGTTATGACACAGTCTTGCTGCCTGTCTAAGATAGTCTAATACTGTCCTTGCAACTGAGGTTTGTAACCTGATAGAAGTTCATGTTTTAGCTTTATAAACGTCTTAAACTAGATAAAAATCTTTGTTAAAGATTTGATCTCTGTTAATCCACCCCGAGCCTTTACACACCACATCTTAACAAGGCACTTAAGTAGTATAAGATGCTGCTTCAAGAACTTGAGTCTCGTTGTCTGCATGGTGGATCAAGACAGAATAAAGTTAATTGCTTCTTTTTTAATCTTTAAAATTCTAGTAGCTTGTCTGTAGTGACATCTATGTCAGGTCCAGGGCTGGCACTTATTTACCACCACAGAAACCCAGGGCCCTGTAGCTGGAACTGTTTACACGCAGATCGCAGCATCACATTTTACAAACACATTTTTATGTCAAAGTGAAGGGGGAGGAAATTATCTCATCATGCAAACTGCAAATTGCATGTTGAAATTTGGTGAAAACATGCCACACGTTCAGTCTTGATACAAGCAAGACAGAATATTTGTCATGTTTTTTTGTTCTTACAGTGTAACCTTGGTCAGACTGATGTTGGTGGTTAGGCATATCAGTCTGCAGGGGGGCTTATAGCTGGTCTCAGTTGAGGTCAAAGGTCAGGGGTTAAGACCACCTGTATAAACATATAGTATGCTCCTACACGAGAACCTAAATATACGTCTGTGGAGGCTGCAGACAAGGAGGGCGACTGATGCTGCATGCACCTTTGAAATGAACACATCAGTGCGCACACACATGCATGAATAAGCACACACACACACTGAGGACAAAAACAGGCAGCCACACACAGAGCTGTGCAGACAGATGAGGATTTTCTCCTTTCACATCTTTGGAAAATCTGTCACCACAGCAATTTGTTTCCACCTCCCCCGTCCTTTTAACAAATCAACTCAGCTGCTTTCACTTTATCTGTCTGTCTGTGGGATGTGTATATTTCCTCATAGTCTAATACTGACTATCACAACTAGTATTAGACAAAAAAACAGACTTTCAGTAATTTCAGAGATCATCAGTGTTGATTAAACGTTGCCGTTGATTAAACCATGTTCTTAAAACTTTCACTTTTTTGTTTATTTTGTCAAGGTCCCTCATGCAACACATAACTCCCTGGTGGGCAATAAATGCTTGACACACAGTAAGTCACCCAGCCCTTTAGTAATTTGGAGTCTCATCTTTTCCTTTAGGGCAAACGTTTCAGATGCTGCAGCAGAAAATGATTAATGAAAGCTCTGAAGGCATTTAGGAGCAGATTCAGCCACTCAGCACTGAGATCTGCGGAAGGAGCACAATCCATCAAGAAGAAGATAATAATAAGATGAACTGGCATGCACGAGACCACAGGCGTGGGAAAAAGTTACTACAACAAAGTGTCACTACATGACGAGATGTCCTGATGAGACAAAATAAAAAAGCTGAAAATGCAACAGTTGTTCAGTAAGTCTGACAGTCTGTACATCGGGACACCTCAGGGTGTATTACTGCAGTGATACCACAGCCTCCTACTGCAGGAAAAGGGCAATGTCCAAAGATTTTGTTCAAATTGTCATAAATCTTTTCAAGGTCAGTGGTTAGGCCCATTTTAAACATAGATTCTCAAAATATAAAGGGTAAAGATATCATCCAAATGACAAAAAAAAGACTGTTTTGTATGTGCCGTGTTTTAGAGATAAAGTTTGTATCTCAACGGTTTCTACCTCCTTCACAAAACAACACAGGTGAATGTTGCTCTGCCATTTAAAGTCACATTTAAATTCCAGCAGGAATGTGGATTGTTTGGATTATCCACAAACCATATAGTCAACAGTTTTCACTGGAACTACTTTCTATTAAAAGAAATACTGCATATAAAAATGACCAACTGTGTACTATGAGGACCATCCAGTGACTGGATCATTGTTTCTGGAGAAGTCGCTTTAAGGTTTTAAATGTAATTATTTTTCAGCGTTGTGAGGAGGACAAATAAAGTTCCTTTCACCTCCATTGCTTTGGAGTGGAGGCTTAAATCACGTGACGACCTCGAGTACAGTAGCTTTAGTAACTGTCGTGTCTCTCTGATTGCGGTCAGGCTTTCCTTTTGTGTTGTCTGTGCCAGTGCACGTTTTGTTCCCACTCTGACCTCCAGTAGTGACAGAGACAATAGTGGGCAGAAGCTCATCTGATACAGCAATGACACAGGAAACATGAGGGGAAAGACCAAACCAGACACTGCTGAATCTCTCAATGTGTGTGTCTGTGTGTGTGTGTGTATGTGTGTGTGTGTATGTGGTCCTATATTTCCTGACTTGCGGGTGTGGTGCGGGTGGGATAATGCAGCTTCCTGTAGACCAGATTAATGGGCTAATATTGGATATAATCCTCCCATTGTGAAAGGGCTAGAGACCTGGCAGCCAGTGTGTTTGCAGAGGTTGTGACCTCTGCAAACACAGATCTTCACTATCACACACACATTCACACAAAACTACACACACACTGAGACACATAAAAGCAATATGAAGTAGCCGATCTGTAACTAATGGCCTAATGATATATACAACATATCCAATAAACTTCAAAAACAATTCATTTGAATTTTGATGAATAAGGTTAATGGATGTGCTGGAAGTGTTGTGTATGATGTGTTGATGCACGGAAAGCTGAAAATCCTTAGGGGAAAATTTTACTTTAACAAATGTATTATAAATGTATTATCAAAATGTATTGTTTTGTTTTTGTTAATTTTTTAAAAGCTCACTAAGAAGAAACAGTCCTCAGTTTGTACTGGGGTAATCATGTGAAGTGTTCATCCTTCCCAAAGCTTTCACTTGTGTTTTGACCTTTTTTTTTACTTTTAATTTTCCTGTCATTGCTAACGATCGACTATATCCAGTATGATCGATTAATTGATGAATCATTTAGTCTATAAAATGTCAGAAAATAGTGAATAATATCCGTTCCAGTTTCTCAGAAATCAAGTTGACAGCTTCAAATGTCTCGTTTTGTTGTTTTGTTTTGGCCAAAAGTTTAAAACAAAAATATTCAGTTTACAATGATAGAAAACACAGAAGATCTTAACATTTGAGAGGCTGAAAACAACTATTTCTTACCGACATATTTGCTTGAAAAATGACTTGAATGATCAGTATTTAAATGCACTAATGTGGACAGAGGAACCACATAATCAGTCAAGCAGCTTGTTATTACCATACAAAGAATCCTCCCTAAAATCTGCTTTAGGCTTTAAGGACCAATAAACACCCATGCACACACACACACACACACACACACACAAACACAATCCTCCCCTGTTTGTGGATTTATTTTGTCAGTGTGTATTAGGGAGATAAAGTCGTGGGCATGAGCCTGAGCCTGTGAGTGTGTGTGAGTCACTGTTAGCAATGCTTTGAGTCGCCATTGGTTTACTTACTGCTTGTTGAGGACAAGGGACTGTAATCAGACCTGCAGTGGACGACAGAAAAGAGACAAAAACAGAGACGACAGAGGCGGTGTGGACACAGAGCGAGGGGGTGGGTGGGACAAGAAACAGAGAGAGGAGACAGGAGTTTATATTACAGCATGAAGTGCAATCAACATGATTTACAGGAAGACACACTCCTATTTCAAATAAAGTGCTGACATCTGGCTAAATAGTAGAAGAGGTCCAACTGGAAAGGTCACCAAAAATGCACTCAGACATTTTACTGCGGTTTCTGTCTGAAGGGATAAAACACAGGGACATTCACTCAAGTACTGTTTGTAATACTGTTTGTAGTACTGCTGCTGCTGCTGCTGCTGCCTATATCAGGTATTTTGGACAGCGACAATATCTCCCATTTGGTGAAAAGAACTACAGAATAGTTCAACAAACACTTACAGCTACTCATACAACGGATTCAGCTAATTTAAAACAAAGTTATACACAGTAACACTGCAAAAGTAGGTAATTTATGTTATTCAAATCACGTGACTATGAAGAAAGCACAATAATAGGCTAATAATGTAAACACTCTGCAGTCAGAACAACTGGAGGTCTTACAGTGTTCCCCATTCTGCTGATGTTGTGTGAATGCAACATAAACACAGGGCTAGAGTCAGGAGGGAATTAGCCTAGCTTAGCACAAAGAGTACACAGCTAGGATGGCTCTGTCCAAGGGGAAAACACACAGCTACCAACTCAGCATTTAACCACAACGTACAACATCTTGTTTCTTTAATCCGTACACAAACAGAAACATGACAACAGTTGGTGTTTTTTATGGTGAGAAAAGAGATTGTTTGTCAAGGAATAGCACAGTCAGGCTTCCCATGCTTCTGACCTTTATGCTAAGCTAGGCTAATCATATCCTGGCTTCAGCGCCATACTTAACTTACTGACATGAGAGTAGTATTTATCTTTTAATCTAACTCTTAAACTCTTTATCATAAAGAGTCTTACTTCCACTTCTTGGCACACACACATTCTCATTCAGACGGGTCTAATCTAAAGCTCCCATCTTCAAACTGGGAGAGAAGCAGAATCAGATTTCTGCTAATGTGATCTCCATAGATTAGAGAAAAAAAAGCCAATTTGTGCAATTACACAAATATGTGTACCTGAAACATTCAAGAGGCGTGTATGCCCATATACAATGACACTGATTGAAGAGCTAACCTGCATCCTACATGTTCTAATTCCCTGAACTATCCGTGAAACTTCAGCTCACATGTGTACGACACAACCTGAGAATATTAGTCCCGCAGGAGTCAGCTGACAACCAGAGAAGACTGTTCCCCCACACACTGTGACCCTCACTGTGAGTCCGCCTCTAAACGAATGCCTCCGGAGCGACAGGACAGCAGGAAACAGAGGAGAGAGTCTGTTTCCTGCAGCAGGGGGTTATCAATCTAACTAGATAGCATTAGCAGCGTAGAGATGAGGAATGGATGGGAATGTGGGAGGAAGCAGAGGTGAGCAGAGAAAGGTAAAAGGCAAAGATGATGAGGGAAGTGCAGAGGGGGAAATGTTGGCGTCGGTAGCGAATGAAAAGACAAATATAAAGAGCAGATCATAAACGACCGGAAGGTTCCAGCAAAATGACAGTGAAACTCATCGACATGTCCCCTCATGCACAGAGAGAGAAAATGACTGAATGTGGAAAAAAAGATGAGAAAATCTTTCTTCTCAAGGTTTATGACTCTTTGTAGAGTTGGAGGTACTAGCGTGTGCAGTCGCGCCTCTGTTTTGACGGCTCCCTTGGGTGTGTGTGTTTGGCAGGATTCCCCCAGCAGCGCCGGTTAGCATCTCACTTGGCGTTCCCAGTCTGGCCGCGCTGCCTCGCTTCATCTCCACCCAAAGACCACAAACGCAAAAGTGAAACGAAGACAGGCAGCAGCCCGGTCATGCACACAAGGTCTGACTGCAGAGTGACCTGGGGTGCGTCTTGTAGGGGCTCGTTTGACGTGTACGGAGAGCTGGACAGATTCAGGTGTCTCTGATTCGATCAGGGGAGGGAGAGGCAGGAAGGGAGAGGTGGGATGGAGGAAGAGAACAGGAGGATGAAGATGGAGAGTCACACATAACAACATTTTAAGGCGTGCCACCTCTACATGAGCTTTAGTTATATTTGGGAAAGTCATGGTTTAAAAGAAACCAGTGCTGATTGATAGTAGGAGATGGAACGTGAAATCACATTCTTTGTATGCCTAACCATTCAACCCGACCTCTTGAAGACTATAAGACTGTCATGCTACTTCCACCAGGACAGTCATTATTCACACGATTATAAGAGATTTATTGTCAAGTAAACTTAATGCTGCATTAATCCTTTTTTTGGCCAGCTGAGGGGGAATCTATAAACTCAACACTAATATATTATCACCTTAATTCGTCCAGCAGATACAGAGCACATAACCATTCGTTTGAAGCCATGTTTCTGGCTACCTAATGAATGTAAGTCCAGTACTCTCTAGTCTCTTTCAGCTCTGGTTTGGTCTCTACCAACTCCTGAGAGAAATATCAGGTTCATTAGCTGCTAGTGTTCCTCGGTGTTCGCCAGCGAGTCCCTAACTTTGTCTGTGTGCTGTTTGGTGTTGGGCAGGTCGTGTAAAGTGGGTTAATCGGAACTTGTTTGCTGAAAACAGCCGCCTGCTGCTCCTGGAGACCCAAGGTTGATGAGACTGAACCAAACAGTAAATATGCTGGAAAGCAAACATTACACATAGTCTGACCCACTGTTAACATAAAACTATTGATTTGTGCAGCTTTAAACACCTAAATCACCTGATACATTATAAGCCACAGATTCTGTCGTCTCCATAAAGGCATTTAGGACAGGCCAGTACTGACAAAAATTAAATATCACAAGATAATCGACTGTCCAACTAGCATCCAAGATAATCAATTTACATTGATACAGAATTGATAAGTGATGTAAATGATTAAGTGGTCATCCACATTTTTGGCTATTAACCATTTGGCACTAATTAATTATATTAAGGTATTATAGGAACAATTCTTTGTGATTTTAATGTAATAATTTGCAACAGGATTTTGAGGTTCTAGTAAGGGTTTGAGTTAATGTGGACCTGATGACTTGAGCGCATTAAAAAATACCTGCACACCACAGAGCCCAATGTTATTGTCTGAGCACAGTAAGGCCACTGTGAGCTGTGATTGGAGGAGTGGTGAAGGCAGAGACTGTCAGAGGTGAGGAGAACAGTGGATGTGGGAGCTGAGCAGGAAGTGAGGCAGAGGAGGATGGAGGATGTGAGCTGATGGAGGGAGCAGCTCTGTGGTTATCAGCTGGACGTCACTGCTTTTCCTCTCACACCAGCGCTTTCTACAGATGTATCTCCTGCTTTATTTCTTTCCTTTTTTTTTCTCTTCTTTTTATTCGGTTTTTCCCATGAAACATGCTTCTCTCACACACATCGTGTTGTTTTGTTCCAGTTCACAGCTAATGAAATTGCCTGGTCCCATGTTACTCTGACAACAGGGGCACTGATGCACGCGGATAAAGAGAACAAAACTGGTCTGAAAGCTGCGTCGACTTGTGTAACGTCTGTTGTTATGGAGTTATAAGCTTTTTTGATGTACGTTCTATATGACTTTTGTATAAGGTTTTATAAGGTTGTTTGTTTTCTGTTATACATATGTGCTCTGAATGTTGTTTGGCTGCTTTTCTCTTTCATCTTCTCAGGGACTACGAATGAAAATTGGCTCCATTAATGTCAATACTGAGCATTGTCCTTGATTAATAAATACATATGTATAACAATTAAGAAACCCCTAAATCTACACAGGCTACTGAAAACAAATCTAATTTCTATAGGGGAACTAAGAGGTTGGGTAATATTGATATAATTCTTAAAAAAATACATTGTTCTCTCTTTTCTTTATTCCACAACGACCCCTTGAAGAGGTATAAAGACACAGTTAGACTTATAAGAAAACAAAAAGAAACAGAAACTGGTCAAATTGTGCTTGTAAACAACTACCTGGAGGGGTATTGAGTCACATTTGGAGAGACTGAAGACGATGTCTCTAAAGGAGTTATGGGTCATGTGGGGTCTCTCACTAAAACACAAACACAAGTCCTTCTCTACAACAACAAAGCCACATCCAGCAGTGACATACCGCAGGTGAAACTGAGGCGCATCTTTGTTTAAGGGCTGAAAACAGAGTGAACAACACAATGAGTCATTTAACTCTCTATTGTCAAAGCATTCTTGAATTAAGCTCCATCTACAGCAGCATGTGGCTGGACTCTCATTAACAAATGAGTTGGTGATTAAGACTGAACTTTCCACTGAAGAATTAGGATTACACCTCCTCCATATGTCCTTATCAAGCATTGGTTATTTGCAAAGGGGTGCAATCCAAGAATAATATGACTTTGGTCTAATATTTAATGAATTTGGTTTAAAATAGTGTCTTGCTCTGAAAACTGTTTAACAATAGACTTATAACAAGGTTTAGTACATCCAATGGTTGACTATGATAACTAGGTATCTAACTTATTATAATCCAGATTGATAAGTATAATAGTGGCTTTTCCTATAATATAAAGTGTCTACACACATTCAGTTAAAACCGGTGGGTGCCACTAAACTTCATTTAAAAAATTGTCAATTTAATGTTGTTTTCCTTATCTGACAAGGTATAACTCTTGTCGCTAAAATTATGCAAACAGACATGTTTGGAGAGATATAAAACACTCTGCTTAGAAATATGATTTGTATCCACAATAAAGTTCAATAACCCAGTTAAAGATTCTTAAAATTACATCTTACATCAAAAGCCAGAATAGGCTATATGAATATGGGAATTCCAAAGGTTGATAGGTAGATGTTGAGAAGCCATTAGCTGTGAGACAAAAACAATGATGGATTTGAATTCCGGATCTGTCACACCTCAGTATGAGTTCTGCTTCACTCACCCTCCAGTTTCGGCTCCTGAATCCACGCAGTCATCTTCTGCTGAGGTTTTCTCCATCTCAGAGAGTCGGCCGAACAACACTTAGCCGCATTGTTTCAAAGTCCTGACGTAACGAGTAAAACGGGGCATTTAAAAACACGCTACCGTTTCGATAATGTGTTAATGTTATGTGAACGAGCGGAGAGTGTGAGTCTGTTCGTAACTCCTGACCTGCAACGGGTTGTCTGGATAACTAGTTGGAGCAACAGGCGACTGAGAGACTACTGTTGTTTCCCTGCGTCAGCTGCGCTCTCAGATGGTGCCTTCTAGAGCCGTCGGAAATGTCACAACTTCAAGTGTTGCACACACTAGTTAAAAGGGTAAGATTACATGTTTTTTTTTTTTTTTGAATAACATATTATTTAGATTTATAAGTAACGAGGTCCGTTCACTCAAGTACATACTTAAGTACAATTTAGAGGAACTTCTACTTTCTTTGAGTTTCCTATCATTAGGCTACTACATTCTCATAAGGCACCATTCATAAAGGGATTATAATTAATGGATATATTAATGTAATACATAATTTTCTGTTGCTTTACATCTCAGTCAATGGCAATGAATCATAATCACTTTTGGTTTGCCAGATGTACTTTATTTATGTAAATGCAGGATTTTTGAAATTAATTATTTTCATATTGTGGTATTGCTACTTTTACCTTTTCCCCCAGCACCTGGAATTTGACTTTAGGATACATATCTATGAAATGTATGGAGGATCATTTCGACCAGTGAACTTGAACATTAGGAAAGATTCAAATAAAATTAAGTCAAAATTAACTGATTATAAACATAATTATGAGATAATAAGTCAAAATGTTGGTTTGTAAAATAAAAAAAATATGATATATTATGATATGATGTAATAATTTTGAAATAGTAATTTAGATTTATGATGGAAAACTGAAATTAAGATTAATTTACTTTTTCATGTTAATTAACTTAGAGTGTTACTATACCTGGTAAGAGTGCTGTTTTTTTGAAGGCATTGTAGGGTAACATGAGAAGGGTGGTGCTTTGGCTCCGTCAACAGGGTGAATGAGATAATACAGCATCTGTCTGTCTAGATAAAATAAAGAGAGGAGTTATCACATTTCTTTCCTGCAAACAATGCTGTTCCTGTTCATGTATTAAACCACATAATTTATAGAAGACAGGGTGCTTTGTTTTTACATTTTCATTTTTTTAATCTCTTTATTTAATCTCTTCTCATTTTTTTTCTTCATTTATTCATTTGCAGAAAACACGGAGCGACAACAACGTGACGTCGAGGCGGTGACGTCATCTCCACGCGCCTGTCGAAGCGGCGGGGACGGTTTTCGTGCACGTTGATGTTTTTGTGAATTAGCAGCGTACGGTTCGTCTTCATTGTCGTCAGTTTGACTCTGATCAGAAATGTCTGTCACCGAGATGTTCAGTTACATCCAGGGCTTCCTGAGCGCCGACCAGGACGTCAGAGAGGTATGAATGAACAGCCCGTCAACATTAGCTCTCAGAGACGGTTAGCTAGCTGCTAACCTGAGCCGAAACCTTGCCAACACACAGTAAACAATTTCTCTCCATAAACTGTTAAAAAATGGCAGAGGTCCTGTTTATGAAGCGGCACAGCCTGTAGCGATCGACTGCGATAAATAGGTGTTTAACGTAATTTTATCCAACTTCATAAAAATGCATAATAAACGTGTCACTTAAACTATAATGTAAATTAATGACGCTCTGCCGTCTGCTTGGTTTCTTCTACGCGCGGTCGTTTAGGTACAGTGGGTAACACCAAGCTTCATTTAAAAAATCGTCATTTTAACGCTGTCGTCTTTATCTGATAGTGTATACCTATCGTAACCTAATTTCTCACATTAGACGTGTACGCGCTTTAATTCGGCACATGTGTGAGCGAACGCCCATCTCAAAGACCCATATCATGTGTTCATACATGTGAACATACTCTGCTTAGAGTAATATCTGGTCTGGTCTGGTTAACTATTAAAAATTACATTTAATCTTTCTCCCTAACTGTAGAATCCAAATTGTGGTTTTAAAAGTTTAACTGCTGGACAGAGGATGTCCCCAACCTCATTGAATAGTCAGTCCAGTGTGTGTGCGCTGGAGGTTTCAAGTTTCCACATCACACTTGTATAAAATATATTTACATACTGGACCACAATTGGCTTACATACTAGTTGTTATGCTCATATATACCGTGGGACATACATGTAACTTCAGATTCCAGGTGAGCACAAAGAAACTCCCCTAAAAGAATTACATTGCATTGACTTGGTTTAGACTTTGAGAAGGTGTCAGTGATCCATTAAATGTGTTGTATTGTTAGTACGTTAGGTTTTACTGACATGTTAGGAGAGGTACTCGTATAAACAAAACACTCTTTACATGTTTCTGCAGGATATCCGTAAGGTGGTTCAGACGTTGGAGCAGACTGCTAGAGAAATACTGACAGTTCTCCAAAGTGTTCACCAGCCGACTGGATTCAAAGAAAGTGAGTGTTTGACACAGTGTGAACTGTTTTGACTTGTTATTTAATTTTGTTTGAGCCCTCAAATGTGTCCTTTTCTTTTTCCTGTCTACTACTAGTTCCCAGTAAATGTGCGAAGGCACGCGAGTTGTTCTGCACAGTCCGGACACAAATTGCAGACCTCAAAACAAAATTTCCTGTGGAGCAGTATTACAGGTAAGAGCCACTTGTCACATAATGCTTTTGTGTGCTGGGCTTACAAAGCAAATCAACTCTTGTCTGCTTGTGTCTGTGTCATTGCTTTACTCTTCTTTTTGGCTTGGCTAATATTTCCACAACTTTCTCACGCTTCTATACTATACTCAGGACTCAGAATTGACACTGGGTGGATTATCGTGATGAAATAAAGTAAAGTGTTTTGTCTCCCTCTCTCTGATCTCTCTGGTTTTCCCCCTCAGGTTCCATGAACACTGGCGGTTTGTCCTGCAGCGCTTGGCTTTCTTAGCAGCCTTTGTCGTCTACCTGGAGAGTGAAGCTCTTGTGACTCGGGAGGAGGTGGCTCAGATACTTGGCAGTAGGTACCACTTCATGTGTTGGTGTGTAACTGTTACTGAGGGATGTGGCCTGACTCTTGACTCTCTTCACCCTCCAGTTGAGGTGGTGCGAGAGAAAGGCTTTCACCTGGACGTGGAGGACTACCTGGCAGGTGTGCTGATCATGGCTAGTGAACTGGTGAGTCTGTTGTTGTTATATTAAGAATGTACAAAGGCTAGAACGATGCTTTGTGTCCCTAATACACCATGAAATTTCCAGCTGTAGCATAAGGTGTACCTAGTAAATAGTGATAGGATCTCATATGTGTAAGCTAAGTAACTGTTCAATTCGTGCTGTGGTTTTTTCAGTCACGGTTGGCGGTAAACAGCGTCACAGCAGGAGACTACAACCGGCCGCTCCGCATCTCCAACTTCATCAATGAGCTGGACTCGGGCTTCCGCCTGCTCAACCTGAAGAACGACCCGCTGCGGAAGCGTTACGACGGCCTCAAGTACGACGTGAAGAAGATCGAGGAGGTGGTGTACGACCTGTCCATCCGTGGCCTGGCCAAGGAGTCCGAGTCTGGCGGGGACAAGTAAAGCTGGGAGGCGGTGATTGGCTGTGGGAGATGGAGGAGGGCGCAGTAGCTACCCCGGGCTGGAACCTCTCCACGGCTGCTGCAGATTGGAGACCTTACCCCACCTGGAAGGCAAGACCCAGGGATCTGCCTGAGGTGCCATCAGCCTAGGACAGACTGTGTGAGTGCGCGGATGAATATGTGTGTGTCTGTGTGAATGTATGCATGAGAGGTGCTTCAGATGGATGGCAGTCTGTCAGAAGGGTGGCAGAGAAGGTGCCAGAGTTTGACACCCTCGTTCGGAGGCTTAAGATCGAAGGTTTGGTTTGTTGCTGGTTGTTGGAAATCCGTGTTCACAGCTTCATCTGATGCATCTGTTATTGTTTCCCTGAGTTGGTTTTGCAAAGGTTTCATCTAATTTGCAACAGTCAACTTTCTTTGTTTTTGAATTATAGTAAATTGATGTTTAATTCATTCAAGAAGACAGGCGGAGATCGCCCACAGTGCTCCTGCCGTGCAGAGCTTACTTTCCGTGGTGGTTTGTGTTTATTTACAAAAACATCATAAAACAAACAAAAAAAAAAGAAAACGTAAAATGTGTTTGTGTTGTTCACCAGACGAGTCGACGCCTGGTGATATTTCTTAGGAGTCTGAATTACTGTCAAAAAATGGGTGCATCCAATCAGAGATCCAGGAGCCTAATTCATGAAGAAAGTAAGTGATGCAACAATCAGACGATTAAATCTACAATCCAAAATGTAAAATACATTTTACAGCATCTCACCAGATCTGGATCTTTTCTGACTTTTGTTAAAAAGTCTCTGTTTGGATTTTGGTCATTATAATCTGACCTGAATACACAGGATTTTTTCTTCTTTCTTTTTTTTTTTTATAAATGAGGCTACAGGAGAGGAAGAGCCAAAGAAAAGACAAAGATGCACTTCACATGATATAAAGCTACTCTGTGATTAGTTAGATTCCTTTTCTTTTCAACAGCAAGGAAACCCTTGCAGAACAGTGCCAATGAATATGTCTTTTGAGCCTTTTGAATATTTTGGATGTCGAGTGATGAAGCTTTCTCTGGAGATCCGTGAGCAAAAATACAAAATAGTCAGAATGTCATGTACTGCATGTTCTATGTTTACTGTTTTTTCACTTAAGGAAATGTCTTGAAGGTTTGTTTCTACTGTCAGCATCCAAGCTTCTGTTTGCCTCTTTATTGTAGTGGAGCTGAACTGTATTTTATAGAAATATTTCACTTTCAAACTCTTGCATCTTGTGTTTTTGTTTCGTGGAGTAATAAGTGCATTCCACTTGTACCGTTTGTTTTTCTGTCTTTGAATCAGTTGTTCTACAGTTGCTTAAAAATGACTGTAAATATATTCTACGTTCTATGTTTCAAGCTTCGCCAGATTTTGCAAATGAACAAATCGCTCAGAAGGACGCGAGAAAGGTTGTCGTTTAAAATATTTTAATAGAATTCATTGGGGAAATAATACATCAGGCCTTTCAAACGCAAATGAGAAAAGGGAAAATAATGGTATGCGACTCATACAAAGCAGTCTTGGTTTTGTTTTTTTTTTCCCCACATATTGGAAGGGTT